TTTTTATATAATAATTATATTATTAATATTAATATTTTATTTTTTATTAAAAAATTAATACTTTTTTTTTATGTTCGTAGGCAAATTTGCCTGCTCTACAGTTTAAGGGATAAGATTTAAAAAATAATATTAATTTTTTCAATATGTCAATAATTTTAATAAAAATAACAGTGCTCTCTTTACTACTATTATATTTATTTTTACTTCACTTTACGATCAAAAAGATTTATTTCTCAACTTAATATCGAATATGTATGTTGTCGCATTATAATTTGTCTTGATCAGTGAATATTATACATAAATTTTTTATTAATACAAAAATATGTAGTATATAACGTTTCTATACTAATGACTGAAACATATACTGCCCTATAAATCTCTATTTTTTTCTTGATTATCTCTTTTACACAGCACTTCTTAGTTACTATTTACTACTCTATCTTTAATAAATCTACTATGACCTTTAAAAACTTTCTTCACATTCTTACGTAATTCTGTATCATCTTTGAGAGCATCTTCTATCAGTAAAATTTGATACTCAGTCCTGCTCATAATGATTATCTTTTTGTAACACTAGTGGATCTTAAAAATTGGGGGAAAGGAGAATAAAATTACTTTCACTTCAAATTGCGATTTTCTAAAAAATTCACCTCTAATTTCAAATATATCATGATCTAATTGGATAATGTTAATCAGTTTAGAAAATAAGTTTTAGAGCTGGTTTTTCAAAATGAACTGGTTTTTTAAAATTTTAAAAACAGAATTGGAAACTGAAAGAACTGATATCTTAAACTGTATTCTAACCAATTAATTAAGAATCGTCTTATTATAAGTAATTATCTTTTATAAATCTAAGAGTATCAACTTTAGTATAATCTTCACTTTTGTCTAATAAAAGCTTCTTTTTTTATTTTAATAAAACTATTAAAAAATGTATTATTAAACAATTGAAAAATAGAACATTTTATTTGAATTGAGGAATGTTTTTTAATATAAAGCTGTGATCTTATAAAGTATAAAAATTCTATATAAGTCATAAAGTTATAGATTCGAATATTTACGGAAACATGAGAAGTTTTATCTTTTTGATATCAATTTCATCATGTGATTGATAATCGGTCCAATAAAATTGCCTTATTGAAAATTTTGTCAAATTCCAACTTTTTTAGAATTCAATTTACGTTAAGAGTATCTTTTTACTCAAATATTGAATACATTTGAAATAGCATAGATTTTCGATTTCAATAGCATATATTTGTGCGATTGAGCACCATCTATATATTAGTATTCGTTGATGTCGAAAATTCTCTCCAATTCAAGAAGGATCGGTTCCTTCATACAAAGAAGCAAAGGTACAATTTAAATTATTATTAAATAATAATGCTTTTTACGTATTTTTGCGAGTAATATATTTAATTAACCGAAACTTTAAGGATTTCGTGCTTTCAGTTTAAGCGCACCGAGAAAACAAGATGTTGAAGTATTTGTGGATGGAAATCCCATTACGATAGAACAAGGAAGTGCTGTAATTCAAGCATGTGAAAAAGCTGGCTATGCAATACCTCGCTTTTGCTTTCACGAGGTCGGTTGAACTATCCAAAGTTATCTTACCGTTAACTGACTTCAAAAATAATAATAGATTCAACTTATTTGAATTTGGATCAAAATTAGCGGTTATCCGTTGCTGGTAATTGCCGAATGTGTCTTGTTGAATTGGAAAAATCACCAAAACCTATCGCTTCTTGTGCAATGCCTGTTATGCCCGGAATGAAAATTAAAACTGACACACCTCTTGTGAAAAAGGCACGTGAAGGTGTTATGGAATTTTTATTAGCTAATCATCCTTTAGATTGTCCAATTTGTGATCAAGGTGGTGAATGCGATTTACAAGATCAAGCCATACGTTATGGTAGTGATCGAGGTCGATTTCATGAAGTTGCCGGAAAACGTTCAGTTGAAGATAAAGATTTTGGACCTTTGGTTAAAACGAGCATGACAAGGTGTATTCATTGTACACGTTGTGTTAGATTCGCTAATGAAGTTGCCGGAGTTCCTGAATTGGGTACAAGTGGAAGAGGCAACGATATGCAAATTAGTACATATATTGAACGTACTTTGAATTCAGAAATGTCTGGTAATGTCATTGATTTATGCCCTGTTGGTGCTTTAACCGCCAAACCGTATGCCTTCTCATATCGTCCATGGGAACTAAGAAGGACGGAATCAATTGATGTTTTGGACGCTATCGGTAGTAACATTAGAGTAGATTCAAGGGGAGTTGAGGTTATGCGAATCTTGCCTAAAATAAATGATCAAGTGAATGAAGAATGGATTTCTGATAAAACAAGGTTTGCCTTTGATGGACTTAAAAGGCAAAGACTCACCACACCATTAATTCGTCAAGACGATAAATTTATAGTTGCTTCATGGGAACAGGCCTTGACACGTGTAGCCAATGAAATTCATCAGGTTAAAGGTTCTGAAGCCAAAGCAATCGCTGGACAGCTTGCAGATACAGAGAGCTTGGTTGCCCTTAAAGATCTGTTTAATCGCATTGGTTCAGATAATTTTGCCATAGATACGACTAATGGATCTCAGGTACCCGCTCATGGTGCTGATATTAGGTCAAATTATCTTTTGAACAGCAAGATTGCGGGCATTGAAAAAGCCGATGTATTGTTATTAGTAGGTACCAATCCACGTCATGAAGGTCCTATACTTAACACTAGGATCTTTAATAGCTATCTTCGTAATGGACTGGACGTTGGATTAATAGGGTTTGCCGCCAATACTACTTATGATTATGATCATATTGGCGATAATAGCGAAGCACTTGAAAGTATATTAAATGAGAATCATCCGTTTGCTAAAAGGATTGCTGAAGCTAAGAGACCATTGATTATAGTTGGTAGCGGTGTTTTAGGTAATCCTGATTCCGAATACGTATTTTCTACTATAGCAAAAATAACGAACAAATATAAGAACTCCTTCTTCCAGGGTGATTGGAATGGATATAACGTATTACAAATGGTCAGTATATCACTTGTTCATTGCATATTTATTGTTAGCTGATTTCAATATCTTTGTTTGTATGTATTTAATATTATTGTTGTTATTACTATTATTATCATCATTATCATTGATAGTCTGCAAGTAGGGCTGCAGCTTATGATATAGGATTTATTCCATCATCAGAGACTTCAAATATCACACCTAGATTCGTTTATTTATTGGGTGCGGATGAAATCGTCCCTCAAGATATTCCAAAGGATGCATTTGTGGTGTATCAGGGCCATCATGGTGATACCGGTGCATATTATGCTGACGTAATCCTCCCTGGTGCCGCTTATACTGAGAAGAGTGTGACATATGTAAACACCGAAGGTCGATCACAATTGACACGCGCGGCAGTTCCACCCCCAGGAGCTGCGCGTGAGGATTGGAAGGTAACGTCGTGCCCTTTTTTGTTCACCCTCCTCGCTATTTATTTTGAAACCTAAAATTATATCTTTTGTTTATTGATTAGATCATTCGAGCTTTGTCAGAACTAGCAGGCGTTACATTACCATATGATGACTTACACTCTCTTCGTGACCGTATGAGTGATATTGCACCGCATCTTACACGATATGATGTAGTTGAGAGAGTGAGTAATCCCGAATTAGGACTTTCACGATTGGTGAATAAATCCACAAAGTCGTCACGAGCGATATTCAAGCCTATCATTCAAGACTTTTATATGACTGACAGTATTTCACGGGCTAGCCAGACTATGGCCAAGTGTAGTGGCGCTTTCACACATGATCCACTAAAACAATGATTAATGATTAATTATTTATTATTTATTTATGGAATTTTTTTTTTTTTCATTATTTTCATTAAAACGTTTGTTATTGTGAAAAATAAAGTAGGTAGTCACGAGATAAGAATGTGGTAAATCATTTATAAAAAAGGAATACTGATATTTGAACAAAGATAGAAACAAACAAATGTACGAAATAAATTAAATGTAACAATGTACAAAATTAGTAGTATGAACAAGAACTTCAAAAAAAAAAAAACTAGAACGGGTAATTTCGGCTATCTCATGGTGTGCAACTTTACAATTAAGTAAAAATTACAAAAAAAAAAAAAAAAAAAAAAACTTTATATTATTTGACAGGATGTAATAATAAATGGAGTTGGGAAGGGACCATACATAAATCAAATAAGGTTGCGGGTTTTCTTTTTTATTACGAACAATAATAACGGGTAGACTTTATATTATTACACAAAATGATGAATAATTTCAAAAAAAAAGGGGGGATGTTGTTTAGATTACTTTCGAGAATCCTTAACGAATTTCAAAAAAGGTAAATTTTTTTTCTCTTGACACATGGACCATTTAAATTTTTTTTATAAAATAATGATTACAAGGAGATCAGACCTCTTTCCACAATCCAAATCAAAGAAGAATGACGCTAAAGTCAAGTGAATGTGAAACCCGAACCATTACATTTTCAAATAGTAGAATGTGGCTTGCATAAAAATCTTAAAGAAGGGTAGATCATTATGACTATGCCTTTTTCGATATTATTGTTAATATGAAATAGAAAGCTTAGATTTACTTTTATATTTAATTTGATCTGGCCTTTTTTTTTTTTTTTTTCATGAAACGTCTTATCGATATTATCTTAAAATGATTGTTCTCCTTTAATCTAACCCTCCGGGGTACTTTCTTTTCTTGGCAACAATCTTTTCTTTTGGAAGCCCATGTAATATAATGAAACGGTTTGGAATTCGCCAAATTCTTCCGACGACAGATTTTACGTAACAAGTGCCCTAAAAAAGGAAATTCATACCCAATGGATGGGTTTCAAAATAAAGATTCAACAGTTTATTTTCGACAGATTTCTCTCGCTAATTAAGATGAAAGGGTTGTGTGTACAATCGGCACGTTTTTTCTTTTTATCATTATTATGATTTTTTTTTTAAAAAAAAAAAAGAAAAAAGCAGACCCCTTATTTTTTTTTTTTACAATAAGCCATTTGATGTAACAATCAAATGCTAATAATATTATGTTTAGGAAAATATGCTTAAACGCACGCATCGTGCAGATTTTGAGATGCGTCATGTCAATCCAACATGAAAGTTCCATCAAGGCTGTTCTTTCCTGGCGTTTTTCTTTCTTTCACTTTTTCGTTACAATTAAATAAATATAATAACGGAAGATGTATCCGATAAAAAAATTTACTAATTTCAATGACATTACATTAGTTATTGATTGTCCTGGGGAATGTTATCACCATACATAATCTATACATACATTTAACCCTGCCTACGAGTTCAATTGAGATATAATCTACAAATCGCAGAAGATTTGAAAGATTTCTTTTGACGAGTAGCACAGGTTTGACATTGAAACGATGAATGATGGGGAGGAGGTAAAACAAAAAAAAAAAAAACGCACACGCCTAATTCCCGCGACCCTTTTCATTAAAGATCAAGTAATCAAGAGAGAATGAGGTCCGGGAGCAAACAAAATCTTACCACGTATCTTACATCTAATCAGTCATATGAAAATAGATATATCTATTTTAGATGGATTAAATATAGGATTGCTTTTTTAGATTAGTTTGTACGATTACTTTTTTTTGACAAATTCATTTTTAATTGTCTATTCTTGGGTAGTAATTATACTTGGAATGAAAATTAGGTGAAGAAAAAAAAAAAAGTAAAAATTTTTTATTTATAGGATAAAACGTGGCGAGTTGTATAATGTCCAAAGGGGGATTAAGTAATGATTAAGTGTATCAGAAGTATGCGATGCTTTGTTAAAATATCCATGTCTAGTCAAGGTTTCAGGATAAACTAGTTTTATTCCTTGTTTATTATTTTATTATCTATTGTCTATGTGTGTCTATTATTTATTTTTTTTTTTTTTTAATGTGTCGTAAATCCACTTTACTTGATGACATCTCGAATGATAAATAATCCTCATTATTATGGCCGTTAATTTTTTCCGATGGCAAAAGGATTATTTCGATGTTTCAGAGTTACATTTCACATACTATTAGAATTAATTTGATCAATTGCATTTCCTATCTTTCAAACTTTATTAACCGGGCAAACAATATGAAAAAAAAAATAAAATAAAAATAAAAATAATCCCTAGTTTTTTTACCCGGGTTATACAATTATAATAAACGCACACACAACAAAGAATGATTGGCGACCCCCCCTCATACAATCTGAATGATGTTCAAGTAAAATCAATGCCCGAGGGTGTTTGTAACACGAGAAGTTAATGTAACATATCTTATTTATGTTGTGCCAAATGAATCAATTGATAGTTGGTTCCTAATATATCACACTATGATCCATTTAGTACTTACAATACCAACTTTTTTTTTATGTGCCTTTTGCTTTACTTCCATTTCAACCTTTTTTATTTTATTTTCTTTTTTTTTTCCCTTTAATCTCCTCCCCACATAAAATAAAACAATATATTCTTCTTCTTTTGGTTTGATAATTATATTAATTATATGGTTAATCATCATCCTGTTTTCCTTTTTATTAATTTTTTTTCCGCCGAAATCGATACAAGTGGCATAAATAATAATCAAATAATCAAATGTATAAATACATAGCCACACAATTCACACAATAAAAAAAAAAAAAAAATAAAGACAAGTTTTTTTTTTTTTGGAAAAATAAAATATATATATATATAGTCACTTATATTTTTTCCTTGACATAAAAAATAAATCTCAAGGGACCAACGTTTATTTTAAAAACTTTTTACCCTTTCCAAAATTTTCTCTCTTTCTTTGATAGGAAGGAAGAAAAAGGATACCGAAACGGAAAAAGAGACTATATAAAACTTTACACTTTACCTAAACACGTTAAACCACATACTTCACCTTTGATTAAAAAAAAAAAAAAAAATGAAACCATTGGGTAAAAACTCGGCTAATAATTCCACCAACGCAACTCAAACGGAAAATGGTAATGGAGGAAGCGGTAAAGGCATTTTATCAAAAGTAAAGAGTTTTCGTAAAAAAGACCGAAACAGCGTCGTCATGGATGATAATACAAATACAAATACAAAAGAAAAGGAGTCCAGCAATAGCAAAAGAAATAGTTTTATTAATAGCATTAAGAATCCTCGAAATAGTATCGTGATGGACGATCCACAAGACACCCAAGATCATGAAAAGTTAAGTAAATTGTATAAAGATTTAAAAGAAAAAATGGAAAAAACTGAATCAGAAAAATTCAAAGTTGAAACCCGTAACCAAGATTTATTAAAAGAAGTTGAAAAATTAAAAAATGAAGATCATCCTGCGAAATCACGTGACGTTCAAACTTCTGACGACTCTTCTGAACTTGAGCAACAATTACAACAATTAAGAGATGAATTAAAACAAAAAGATGAAACGATTCAAAAACTTGAATCAGACTTAAACATCTCCAAACAAGAAATCGGTAAATTATCTGATAATTCAAAGAGTGAAAATCTTGAATTTGAAAAAGTAAAGGGTGAACTTCAAGATCAAAAATCCTTGGTGGAGAATTTAACCAAGGAACTTTCGGTTTGTAAACAGGAAGTTGAAAAGGTTAAAAAGGATGCCCTGGAACAAACTCAGCAGTCAGTCGAATCTGAAACTGAAAAATCTCGTGTCGTCTTGGAAGTCAGTAAGCATGAAATCAACCATCTTAAATCTGAATTGAATCAACGTGATTCCACCATACAGCAATTAAAATCGGATTTGACCGCTAGTAAAAAAGAGAATGAAAAACTTTCGGAATTTGAAAACATTAAATTAGCTTTAAAATCTTCTCAACAAGAATCTGAAAATTTTAAAACTAAACTTGTTGATCAATCAGGTTTAATTGAAAAGCTTCAAAAAGAATCTCAACAAAGAAGTGATGATAATGAAAGACTTGTTAAAGACCTTAACCTTGTCAAAGAAGAAGTTTCTAAAGTTAAACTTGATAATGAAAATCAAATTAATCAAATTCAAATCGTTAATAATTTGAATTCTGATTTGAAAAGCCAAGTCGAGGATTTAACTAAACAAGTTGAAGATGCAAAGAAAGAAACTGAAGTCGCGAGAAAAGAAACCGAAAATGCAAATAAGGAAGGCTCAGTTGATAAATCCGTTCAAGATCAATTAGAAAAATTTGAAAATGAAAATCTTTCAATGAAGTCTCAAATTGAAAAACTCAATGAAGAACTTACACAACGTGATTCTACTTTGAAATCAACAACTTCAGAATTACAAAACGTTTCAGAGCAGTGTAATGAAGCATTACGTGAACTTGTTCTAACTAAATCCGAATTGCAAAGTGTACAAGAATCCGTACGTAATCAAGATGATTTAAAAAATCAAAATGCCGATTTACGTTTACAACTTGAAACCAAAGATGATACGATACGACAACAAAAAATTCAATTACTTGATACGATTCCAAAGGATCAATTTGACTCCTTACAAAAAGATCTCGAACAAACTAAATTGGAACTGGATTCAAAAATAAATGAATTACAATCTACTAAATCGGAATTGGAATTGAAAAGTCAAATTTTATCTTCGACTGATACCTCCTCTTTGGAAGAGCTAAAATCTCAATTATCTACCGCTAAAGCTCAATTGAAAGCTAATGAATGGGAAAAGAAGCGAAGTGAACGTTCTATCTTTGAATTAAAATCTCAAGTTGATAATTTATCTCACAACAAAGGTGTGTTAAGAAATCATTAGTTTAAATTTTTTTTTTTTTTT